TTGGTTTCTTGGACTTATGAATCCCCGTCATATTCTCATTTGGTTTGAGCTTGAAGAAGACTATCAACGCTGCTGCATCAGAAAGAATTGGAAAATAGGTGGCTTTCAAATGCACATTCTCAAGTGGAAGCCGGGCTTCCAGTTTGAAGAGGAGCCTCCAATTGTGCCTATTTGGGTTTCGATGCCTGAACTACCTCTAGAATAGATGCATCCTTCGGCTTTCTATTCCATTGCAACTGCAATAACGAAGCCTTTGCGAGTGGATGCTCTGAACTTGAGTCTCACCCGTCCATCAGTTACAAGATTTGGCGTTGAAGTGGACTTAACGAAGGAGCTTCCAAAATCAATTCGTATTGGAAAAAGGGGGAACAAGAAGGAGCATATCTTTACGTATGAGTACATCCCGTCTTACTGCACGAAGTGTAGGAAATTTGGGCACAAAGAAGAGGATTACCCAAAAGGAAAAGGTAAACAATGTGTTATGGAGGATCGGCAAAAGACTAAGGTTCTCCCTGTGACTAATAAATCGCAAACACATGATGATCCTAAGGGGGACAAAAAATAGAAGGAAGTCAGTAAGTCAACTCTGAAATAGAGGCCCCATCCTTATGTGACAATTCCGACGATACAGGCAACACAACAGGCGTCTTTGTCAAGTTTATCAGGCAGAGACAAACAATAGATTGTTGTGGATGTTGATAGTAATTGTGACAACCATGTTCAGGCCATTTCCTTACAAGACACGAATCAGCATGGTGTGCAAGCTGCCAAAGCAATTGTGGAGAAGAGTCATGACGATAATGATCTGCAAGTGAATTCGGTAATCGTAAAGGAAAGTGCGCCTGTGGAAAACTCTAATGTAGAAACTATTAACTCGTAGGCTGATACGAAGATATAGGAAACGATGGAGGTAACTGAAGAGGCTTTGGAAACAAGTTGCGCTTAGGAAAACACTAAGTTGCAACTAACTAATCCACAAGCTGTCGTAGGTAGTTCAAAAAGTAACAAAGCAGGAATGATAGTGGAAGAGATTGTGGAAGATGTCTTCATTGAAGAACAATAAAAACAACTTGTAGTTTTTGAGCCGGTGACAACCAATTCCTTCCAGATCTTGCAAGAAGATATGATTGTGGAGGATAACAATGATTCTGTGCATAAAGAAGTTGATTTAGATAAGGGCTTAGGAACGGCAAACACTCCAAGAGAAGTAGATGTGAAGAAACAGCTCTTCATGAAGAACACAACAACTTTTAACGAAATCATTGTGACTGGAGATGAAACAGATTTTATAGCCTAGTGCTAATGCAAAACCAAAAGTATGTCGTTCGAAAAGAATTAATTTTTGTTGAGCATTATTCATTGAAGAAAACCTAATAATATTTTTGCTTTTTAGATGTTTTGTAAAAAGTGGTAAGTTTTATACACTGCCACTCTCCTTTCCTTTATTTATAGTTAAATAAAAAGGGTACTCTACCCACCAGGCACTGCCTGTTTTGATAAAAAAAAAAAAAGTGCCTTAAAAGAACTCTAGTAGGTCTCTCTGTATGCAATAAAGAAAGAAACTCATCGGGAAAGCACCTTTTTCATTTGTGTTTTGAAAACATTACATATGAAAAAAAATAGAGTAATCTGCTCAAAAGATCCTTTAAATTTGGTAGAAAAATTAATTTGGTCCTTAAACTCACTTATTTGGTCCATTACATTTGTCTTTTCAACTAATTTGATCCTTTTTATTTTTTTGCCTCTTTATATTTGTGGGTTCTTGGGCTGACCAATTCTTGGTCAACTCAACAGGGGCATTTTCGATAACTTCTAATCTCAGATTTTCAAAATATGTTAAAAATAAAAAATGTATAAAATAATAGTAAACATGTAATTTTAATTTATAACTTATTATTTAAAAAGAAAATTTAAAAATTCAAAATTTAAAAATAATATTATTAAATTAAAAAAATAAAAAATCAAAAAATCAAAATCTGATTTTATTTTTTGTCCGTGGGCCCCAATCGAGACTTTATTTTTACGCAATTTTTATCCACCACCACCGGACTATCTCTGCCGCCGGCGGACTGCCCACTGCCACCGCCGGACCACCATTGGCCGGCAACCGGCCGCCCGGATTCCTGCGAGTTGGCCGAAATCCAGCCGGCCAGCCGTTGGCCGACGGCGGCAGTGGGCGGTCCGGCGGTGGCAGCGGCGGTGGAGGTGGCCCGATGGTGGTGTAAAAATATTAAGAAAAATTAATTTATAATACTAAACATATTATATTAATTTATAATTTATTATTAAAGCAGAAAAAATAAAAAAATTCAAAATTCAAATACATATTTAAAAAAAATCCAAAATCTGATTTATTTTTTTTTAACCCTCGGCCCAATCGAAATTTTTTACCTTTGAATTATTCTGTTTTTATCATGTGTGGCCCACATCTTATTTGTTTCTTTACCGTTATTCAATATTTTTTTTCGTGAGTTATTTTGCTATAACGAAAAACAAATACTGAATAAGGAAAAAGAAAATAATTAGATGTGGTTCCCACATGATAAAAACAGAGGGCTTATATGGACAATGATTTATTTTAGTTTTTGATTTCGTTTTTGGTTTGAGTTTGAAATTTGATTTAAAATATGATTTATCATGTAGAGCCCACATCTAATTTTTTAATTTATCCTTATTCAGAATTTTTTTTCGTTATACCAAAATAACTATAACGAAAAAAATATTGAAAGGGTAAAGAAAAAAATTGTTGTGGATCCCACATGATAAAAACAGAATAATTCAAGGGTAAAATTTTGATTGGGGCCGATAGGTAAAAAAAAGTAAATTAGATTTTGGATTTTTTTATTTTTTTATTTTTTAATATTATTATATTTGAAATCTGAATTTTTAAATTTTTTTCTTATTTAATAATAAAATTAAATTAATATAAATATATTTAGTATTATTTTAATACATTTTTGAATTTTAACATATTTTGAAAATTTGAGATTTATAAGTTACCGAAAATGCCCTTGTTGAGTTGAACAAGAATTGGTCAGTCCAAGAACCCACAAATGTGAAGGGCCAAAAAAAATAAAAAGGACCAAATTAGTTGAAAAGACAAATGTAATGGACCAAATGAGTGAATTTTTAATGTAAAGGACAAAATTAAGTTTTCTGCCAAATATAAAGGACCTTTGAGCAGATTACTCAAAAAAATATAACAGATCTTCAACTACCCTCTAAAAAACCCATAATTTCTTAGAATAATAAGTAATAACCCCATTCTAGGGGTCTTCAAAATTTATGGGTAGAGAATCCTAATTTTAGCCCCCTTCCTAGTGGAGCCGGCCCGACCCTGATTTGAGTGGAAATAGTTCAAGAAGAGTCCAAGAGAGATGTTGAGTAGCACGCATGATTGCACTATATTGTCCATCTAAACGTCTATATGGTTTCTTAATTGACCAAAAAAACATTGATCTCTTTAAGAAATAAAATTAGACAAAACCCTCTTTTAATCTCTAAGGCTGTCTAATTGTTGACTGAATTACCACAAAAAACTAATATATAGTTTTAACCATGAACCATTTAAAAATTTTTCTGCACTTTTTTGTTCTTTCTAAGGGCAAATGGTTGAGCTGGAAGAATAAGCTTCTATTGACGGGAGGTAATTTGTTATTAATAAGGCTTGTTCTTTCAGCTATACCTTTGCACACCATTGTAGCTATTGTGCTACCAAAATCAACCATCACTTCTTTGGAAAAAAAAAAATGTCAAAATTTTCTTTGGGGAGAAAGTGAAGAGGGTGACAAAAGACATTGGCACGCATGGCATAAACCACGTTCCCTATAGCTAAATTAGAATGGCACTCATGATAACATCGATGCCTTCTCCATGAAGTTATGGTGGAAATTAAATTGAAAGCAAGAAATTCTAGCAAGAGTCATCACTTCCTTTTCATTATTCTTTTCCCATTTGATTTTTACAAATAGTTAGGGAGTAGAAAATTTAGAACTTAGAGCTGTGAGGAGATTTTTTTTCTTTTTAATATAAAGAACTGTCAGGGGGTTCTTGATGATCTTTGTAAGGTAGTTTCTTAGTGGTTAAAGGCAACAGAATTGTTATGGAGTTTTTTTGAAAAACATTTGTAGGACGGATTTTTTTTTTTTTTTTTGGATAAGTCTTAAGCACTACCCTTTGTACTTTTTTATATTAATAAAATCGGGTTCTCCAGCCACGTACTGTCCTAGATATCTAAAATAAATAAATAAACAGAAATGTCACTAGATTTTATAGAAAATAGTTTTAAGACAATTATGTAGTTGTTAATATAAAAATTTTGTAAGACGATTCTTTGCCTTCAGGTATGTCTTACTGCCTTCTATAATGTTTTTTTTTCTAATTAATAAATAAGGAAAATGCTCCCAAGGTACCTCCCTGGACTTTTCTTAGAAAAAGAAAAGGAATGTTGTATTAAATGTAACAATAATTAATCCAATAAGTACCATAACTTCGCCTGCTATATTCGTTCGCTACCATAAGTTCAAAAACTACTTAAGTCCCAATAAAAACTTGAGTTCTGTCTTTTTCCATTTTTCTGTCCATTTCACATCAAAAAGGCAACAGAGGCCTGACTTGCACATGCCTTTGTAGAAGAGGCAATTTTGTCATTTTGGTACTTTAGTGGGCAATAGTGACCCAGTTCATGGTCGATCTGAATAATGAAGGAGAGAAATTTTTGGGTTGTAAAGGTGGGAATCACGTGCCGCCCTCGTGCAACATCAAAAAACAATTTTTTTTTTCTGAAACATATATTCCAAAGGTCAAAGTAAAAGTAAACTTGGAGAAGGAAAACATCAGCTTCGAGATATGGGGGAGAAAGGGGGAAATGTCTAGGGTTTTCAATTTCACCGCCGAAATTGAATTTTTTGGGTGCAAATCGTGAGGTTTGGAGAGTTTAGGAGTTTTGGCGGAGAAGAGGGCTTACAATTGAGGGTTTATTTGTTTGAAAAGAAAAATATATGGTCAGATCTGTGGCCGTTCCAGTGTTGTTTCTGCATAAATTCGAAATAAAGATGTGGAGGGGCAAGGATTACACTCCGACGGACGGCAACGGCAACGGCGACGACGATGACGAAACTCTCATTTATGGTACGTTTATTCATCTTGGGTTGGGTTCGTGGGCTTGTAACTTGAATTTGGGTATGGGAGTTTCTGGGTTTATGGTGATTCTGGGTTTGTAATTTTGTTGTATTAGGGTTTCTGGGAATCTGATTTTATATTTTTGAAATCTGGGTAGGTCGATTTCTGGGCTTCGAGTATTTTATTATCTTCTGGCTTTTGTTTTTTTTTTTTTGTGAAATTCGTGTATGTCAATATATGGGTGTCCAGTTTTATATTACTATCTGGTTTTGGGGTTTTTTCTATTAAAAGTTGTGGTTTTAAAATTCAAGTACATAAAGGATTTCAGAGTGATTTTTCTTTTCCTCTTTTGTGAAACCCCAGATAATGGTTGTTGATATATGAACATGTTTGGTGTTTTTATGTTTCTTAAACATAGTTTGCAGTTTGCATAACTGGGTTTCTGTGTTTTTGTGCCTTTTTGAACTAGAAAATTCGAACATGTTTACATCTAAAAAGAAGCTGGTAACCTAATTGTGTATTGTTTAATGCTTCCGTGTAATCATCTCTATTATAAGGTGGTGACTAATGTAGTTTTATTTTATTTTTTCAGAAGAGGGTTCCAACCTAATTACAATTAAACTTTTCCATGGGGTTGGATTTCTTAAGCAAAATACATACATTTACGTAGAGGGTGAAGTTGAGTTCTTTGACCATGTAGATTCTACGATACTTATGAAAGAGGGGCTGGAAACCCTTGTTGACAGGACTAAGTACTGCAGGCCTCATAAACTTTATTTTAAGGATGCACATGTCGAAAGGCATGGAGGATATAGAGTCATTGGAGGGGATGAAGATGTTTATGACTTGGTATCATTGAAGAATGAATCTGGGACTGTTGAGGTGTTTAGGTTGGCAGTGAATGAGTTCAATGCATTCATGAAAAAAGATTAGTCGGATAATTTTCATTGGAATTCTAAAGATGAAGAGGGCAATGATTCAGATTATGTTGCTGAGAGTGATTATCAAATGTCTGACAAGGATGATGAGGATTTTAGGAAATGTGTTGATGATAAGGTTGAGGCTAGACCAGGGTGTTCTTTTAGACAGCCAGCTAGTGGATCTCAGCATCATTGGAAGGGTTCAAATGGGGGGGAAGATAATGATTCAGATGAAGATTATGGTCTTGTGATGACTTATTAAGTGAAAATGAATCTGAGGATAAAGAGAGTGAACATCCAGTCCAGAAGCACAAGGTCTTTAACCCTACAAAAAAACATGAAGAATCCCAAATTTGAGCTATACCAAAAGTTTGGAAATAAGTTTATTTTGCTAGATGCACTAAGAAGACATTGAACTGTTGATCGGAGAATCATCAACTTTAAGAAAAATTATAAGGTGTTTGTGCATGGCTTGTGTGGGCATTGCAACTAAGAGGTATGGGATTAAAATGGATGGAGAGAATGAAAACACTTTCCAGATTAGGACATTGAATACCAAGCACAGCTAGGGAGGAGTGTGGAGTACCAAGAACGTCAACTCAAACATAATTTCTGACTGGTAGGTCCTAGATGTTGCTGATGATCCTGATATCAGTGTGAGTACATTGTAATTTAGGGTAAAGAATGAGCATCAATTGACAATTTCCAGAACTCAGGACTGGAATGCAAGGAAAAAGGCTTTGGAAAAGGTTCGGGGAAAGATTATAGAACAATATGCTGAATTAGAAAGCTACATGGCTGAGGTTAAAAGGTCTAACACCGGGACATCCATTGAAGTGATATACAAGGATGATGAACCCAGGTTCATCATCTTGATGATGAACCTGATCCTCGTGTTATGCAGGTTGCAAGAAAGGGTTCAAGGAAGGCCTATGAACAGTATGTTGTAAGGTTGAAGGATCATACTTGTGCATGCAGAAAATGGGAATTAACAGGTCTCCGTGTCCTCATGCTATGTGTTGCATTTGGGAAGCAAATAGAAAACTTGATGATTATGTGGATAAGTATTACTCAAGGAGATGAATTTGAAGGCTTAACGCACCTGTTATAAGACTTGTAAATATGCCTCTTTCCTGGCCGAAACCTAAACAGGCACCAATCAAGCCTCCATATTTTAGAGTCCAACCTGGTAGGAAGGTTGGTCCAGGAAAGAACAAATGTGGTTACTGTCGGGGCTCACACAGCAAGAAAACATGTCCTTATTTGAAAGAGGCTAGAGCTGCAGGAATTAAGCTTCCTACTATCCCGCTGAAGGTATACAATTACTGAAACCCTAATTTCCATTTTTCATGTAATTCCTTCTTCTTCTTTTATTATTTCTAATATGTTTAATTCATAATGTATGGTTATTTAACTCAGGTTCTATGTTTTATGCCTAGGGGAATCCTCCTAAACCCAAAAAGATGGGTAGGCCTCCGAAGCCTAAGAACAACCCCACAGTTGAGGGAACCAGTAGCCTCCCCAGGAGAAGGGACAGAAAATCAACAGCAAAATCAGTGTGTAAAAATTGCAATCAGATGGGACATTTCCAATCAATATGTCCAGCATTAGAAAGACGGAGACAGATGGTGAAGGCAATTAAAGAACGGTAGGTAATTGTGTTTTTACAGTAGTTTATATTCATTGTCTAAATAATTGTTTTTTTTCTTAAAGAAATTTGTTTTTTTCTGTATGTAACTAGTGTCGGGCACTGAGTGAAGCAACTCTGAATTTAACTCGGACTCATGAAATAGAACTGCAAGAGCCGGTGGTATCCGAGTGTGCTGCTTGTGATACAACTATTCACACTGTTGAAACATGTCCAAGCTTAAAATATTCAACGTCTCTAGAAGAGGAACACCTTCGTAGTAATCATAATGGTGATAATGCTCAGTTGGAAGAGGTAAATTACGTTGTTTTTTTTTTTTACATTGTTTGTTATATTCATCATTGATATTAGAAAAGATATTTACATTCCTATTTTTCCTTTTCTCCTCTAAACCCTAGCCACCAAACAAAGCCGGCGGCCACCATCTACGGCCTTATGGCCGGCAGCTCATCCCCGGTGGCTCCCTCTGAGCCGCCAAGATCTTTTGCAAGCTTTTTCCAAAAACCGTTTAATGTGGTGGACAATAAAGATTCGCTCGTTAAGCCGATAAAATTTATTAATGGTACTCCAACACTGGAATATGAAGAAGACGAGTTTGAGAGGTTGGATGCACCGCACCGACTATGCTTGGTTGGAAAATTTTCATATGGCCGGCCAAAAATGGATGAAATCCATAAAGAGTTCAAGAAAATCGGATTCAATGGCGCATACACCCTGGGCCTCATGAATCCTAGGCATGTTCTAATCCGTTTTGAGCAGGAGGATGATTATCAGAGATGTTGGATAAGAACCTTTTGGAACATCGGAGGGTTTTCGATGAGAATATTGAAGTGGACGCCGGGTTTTAGGTTTGAGGAAGATCCCCAGGTAGTTCCAATTTGGGTCTCCTTTTTCGACTTGCCAATTGAATACATGCACCCGGAGGTAATATACTCGATGGCTACAGCTCTGGGTCAACCATTGAAGGTGGACACTCCAACTTTGAATATGACGAGACCCTCGGTGGCTCGGTTTTGTGTTGAAGTTGATCTCACAAAGGAACTTGTCAAATCAGTCAAGATAGGGAAGAAGGGCCGAAAACATGAACAGTTTTTTACATTTGAGCACGTCCCTTTCTACTGTCGAAAATGCTGCAAGATCGAACATAAGGAATCTGATTGCCGAATGGGGAAACCCTCACAAAAAAATCCCCTTGTGAGGCCAACCTAGGGTACTGAAGCAGGAGGGAAGAAGCAGGATTTGGAGGTGGAAATAGTGAACTTGAATCCGTTGATTGTGAAATCGAATGCGGCGACATTGCAGTCAACGGAAACCATCACTCCGCAACTACCCGCGGAAACCCTAGCTCTGCAACTACCAGCGGACCCTAATGCCGCGCGAACCTGCTACGTCGTCTGGTCTTTCAGTCCACGATAAAGCCCTCATCCCGGTCGATTTACAGGAAAGTCCTGTGCCAAATGTCGGCAAAATCGTGACAGAAAAACTGACAACAACTACTACTGGATCGCTGAATTTGATTACAGTTGCGCAAGCGTCAAACCCTTTCAGCGTATTACGGAATTTAGGCAATGATGATACTGCAATGATAGAGGATTCAGAGGAAGAGGAGGTTGTATTCACAGAGGAGATAGCAGCCCCTAAGCAGCAACAATTACAAGATGATTTGCAGCACATGTCACTGGTTCTGAAACTGATGGGAGAAAAGTTGTGCGACGACTCCGTCACTGGAACAGTTAGTGAAGATGATGAAGAAGAATCAGCAGCGGAAGAGTTCAGCTGGTCCGAGGGGGAAAGAGATGGTGCTCATGTGGAACGGTCGGAAACTGGTGAGATCATGGCAGTTAAAAGGAAAAGGGGAAGGAAGTCCAAGGCGGAAAGAGCCAAATTAAACGAGGGTGTGGAGCTTCGGCGCTCTGCCGCTTGCTTTGAATAACACCCGTATCTTATTCAATAAAACATTGATGGTTAGTTACATCATTTGGAATATTCGTGGAGTTAGGAAGGAGACGTTGTTGCGACGCTTGATATCTTTGATTGACATTTATAAAGTCTCTTTTCTTGTACTTTTGGAGCCTATGCTCCCAAGTAATGAACTAGAAGTAATAACGAGGCAGCTCCGCTTTGACTATGGTTTTTCTTCCTCGTCAAGTAAGATTTGGGTTCTATGTAAAAAAGGTATTCGGATGACACTGCTTGGAGGATCGGAGCAGGCTTTGCACCTGGAAATAGAACATCAATCCTTGAATCTAGTAACTCTGGTTTCCGCTGTGTATGCAAAATCAACTAGGGTTGCTAGAAGGGAGTTATGGACAGAGCTACAAGGTTCCCGGCATCACCATCCCGATTCTCTTTGGTTAGTTGGGGGAGATTTTAACATCATTCGTTCGCTTGATGAGTAATTCGGAGTTTTAGTTCAGGATCAAGAAGCCATCGGTGAATTTAATTGCTTTATTGAAGCCTCATCACTAACGGAATTGCTTGCTGTGTGGGAGGACTTTACATGGGGAGGTACAAGGCGGACGGGCTGGGTAAGTAAAAAGTTAGATCGAATCCTGTTCTCTCAAGAATGGCTGAACCATTTTCCAATAGCCTCGGTGGAAAACCTAAACCGAACTTCCTCTGATCACTGCCCTATGTTGCTTCAATTTAAACCCTCAACGGACCAGCAGCCGAAATGCTTTCGGTTTCAGAATATGTGGCTAAGAAGGCCTGACTTCTTGGATGTGGTAGAGGAGAACTGGAATGCGCCTATTGATTGTTTTGGCATGTTGCGGTTTTCCTTGAAATTGTGCCGGTTGAAGCTTAAACTAAAGGAGTGGAATAAAACGGTTTTTGGTAACGTTTTTGATAACTTAAAGGAGGCTGAAAAGAAGGTTCAAGAGTTAGAAATGAGATTTGATGCCACCCGATCTGAGGAAGACAGAACTCATCTCCATTTAGCTCGTGCTGAATTGTTATTAAAACTCAAGGAGCGTGAGGACTTTTGGAAGCAGAAAATAAGACTAAAATGGTTGAAGGAAGGGGATTGCAACTCATCTTTCTTTCATGCTACTCTTACTGAGAAAAAAGCTAAGATGAATGTGCATAAAATTCAGAATGATGCTGGGGATTGGCTCATTGAAAAACAAGATATTGAAGCCCAAGCCACAAAATTTTTTGCAGATCTTTTAAAGGAGGAAAATGTAGTACCGCAGATTGATATTCAGGAAAGGTTTTTACAGCACATCCCTTTGATTCTTGGGCAAGAAGATCATCATTTACTCTTGGGTGAGATAACCTTGAATGAAGTTAAGAATGCTGTGGAAAGTCTTGATGCCAACAGTGCGCCAGGAGCGGATGGGTTTGGAGGCTCATTTTGTAGGGCTTGCTGGAATATTATAGGATCGGACCTCCTAAACGCCTCTAAAGAATTCATGATAGGAGTTCCTCTCCCAAGAGCGATTGGGAGTACTCTTGTTACTTTAATCCCAAAGAAGACCTCTATCACAACCTTTTCGGACTTTAGGCCGATAAGCTTGTGTAATTTCATCAATAAGATTTTTACGAAGATTCTCACGGAAAGGTTGAAGAAGGTGCTGCCTAAATTAATCTCTGAGGAGCAATCGGCCTTTTTGGCGGGTCGCGACATCAATGCTTACTCAAGATTTATGCCAGTTCCTTAAACACAAAGCCATGGGTAATAACGTGGTCCTAAAGGTGGATATGATGAAAGCTTTTGATCGCGTTTCTTGGAGTTTTCTAGCAGCAGTGTTGTTGAGGTTTGGCTTTCCTTCTCATTTTGTTTCTCTGGTTTTAAATAACCTAAAAAATAGTTGGTTTTTCGGTTTTGGTGAATGGCAATCCAACAGGTTTCTTTAAGGCAAGTAGAGGGATCAAGCAGGGTGATCCTCTTTCCCCCTTTTTGTTTATCCTTGTCTTTGAAGCGATGTCACGAAGGTTGAAATGGTTCATGGAACAAAGAAGAATTGTTTGTTTTGGTACCCCAACCGGCTCCACCTATGTCTCCCACCTTTGTTTTGCTGATGATCTCATTGTGTTCACCCGTGGTTTGCAAGCGTCTCTGAAGGTGTTGAACAACTTCTTTGAGGATTATGAAAAGGCGTCTGGCCAAAAGGTGAATAGAGAGAAAAGTAATTTTTATGTGGATGAAGGATGTAGTTACTCCCGGATTGCAACAATTACTCGGTGTCTAGGCATACAAAAAGGATCCTTTCCTTTTGTCTATCTTGGATGTAGGATATTTGTAGGGAGAAAAAAGGCTGCAATCTTTCAATTTATATTAGATGCATTGGAAGTGAAGTTATCGAATTGGAAGAATAAATTCCTTAGTCAAGGTGGGAGGCTTGTGCTAATTAAACATGTAATGTCCGCCATCCCAATACATGTTTTTGCGGCCATTGAGCCTCCAAAATCAATCTTGAATGCCATTGCTCACCGATGCCAATGGTTCCTGTGGGAAGGAGTGGAAGGTGATGGAAAAAAACACTGGAGATCCTGGAACCGGCTTACCTACCCAGTGCTGGAAAATGGTGTTGGATTGCGCAATTTTCAAGAGGTTTTGCAAGCCTTTTCCCTTAAAATATGGTGGAAGGTTAAACATAAGCAAGGCATTTGGGCGAATTTCGTGCTCTCTTTGTCGCATTTTGCGAGGAAAAGAACTTCTTGGAGCCAGTTTACCAAAATTGATCATCTTGCATCGTCTTTTTCAAAGGTGTTGGTGCATAAGGGAAATAGTAGCTTCTGGTTTGATCAATGGTCAAGTTTGGGCCGTATATGGGACATCCAGGATACGGAACCTCCAATGCCAAATCTTACAATCCGGGAGTTTTTCTCAATGAAAAATCTTTACTTACAAGAGATTCGGGGATGGTTGGAGGATATAGCTTTTCATGTCTTGGAGGAAATGGATTTATCCTTCAATGAGGGGGAAGACAAGCTCATCTAGAAGCCGACCCCATTGGGAGTATTCACAATCAAGTCCGCATATGAAGCATTGCGGAGGAGGCAAGTTGAAAACCCTAGCCTGCGGAATGTATGGCATAAATTTGTTCCTTTGCGCATCTCCTTCTTCCTGTGGAAGTTTGGTAATTCACTTCTCCCTTTTACGGAGAATCTATGTAGAATGGGCATATACTTGCAACCTTCAATTTGCTGGAAGTGTAAGTCTTCCTCGGATTCAATGAGGCACCAATTCCTTGAGTGTGCTTTTGCGCGACAGGTCTGGAATTTTTTTGCTGAACTTTTTGGTCAAGTTGCGCATGGTTCAAGCCTTAGAGAATATTTGAATTCATGGTGGATTTCAGGGAACTTTAAAACAGCTATTGGGGTCATAAAGAAGGTTCTGCCATCCTTTATAGTGTGGGAGCTATGGAAGGCGAGGAACAAGTTCTTTTTTGGAAATGTTGACTCCACTTTTTCAGGTGTCATCAAAGCTATCAAAGAGCATCTTCATGGAATGATGCTAGTCCATAGACTTAAGGCTCGAAATGTTGTAGAGAGGGAGTCGCTTCAGCTAATCTTTCCGAACACACCTTTCAGCCTAAAACAGAAAAAGGTGCGCAAGGTTTCTTGGCAACAACAGCACAAGCATGTGCTGAACACTGATGGATCTTCCAACTCCCAAGCTGCTGGGTATGGCTTTGTAATCCGAGGTGAGAAGGGGTTTTTTCTTTATGGGGAAGTTGGATTTTTGGGAAGTGGAGATAGTCTTCAAGCGGAGGTTTATGGCCTTTTATTTGGAGTTCGGAAATGTGAGCATCTTGATCTGTTCCAGGTGGAAGTTCAAACGGATAACCAATTTTTGGCAAATATTCTTGCCTCTGGAGGTCCTTGTCCGTGGAGATTCTATTTCGAGTTGCGAGAGATCCGAGCAATTCTTGAGAGAAGGGATTACTCTATACACCACATTTACAGAGAAGCGAATGCAGTAGCAGACAGTTTAGCTAGATGTGCTTCAGATGAAGTTTCAGCAGAATTTTTTTCCTTAGGAGATCTTCCGAATTTCACTAGGGGTCTCATCACTCTAGATTAACAATCTATGCCGTATGTGAGAGTGCGGTAATATTTCAGATGTAATAGTGAGATAATAATTTTTGTATCCTGGTAAGTTCTATGCACTGCCAGCTTTGACCTATGAATCTTAATAATATACAGGGTAAGGAGGGAACTAAGGAACTGGATGATATATTTGTTCATCCCTTGGGTACATCCCTTGGGTGCATTTATATCATCTGGCTATAACTGACTTAAAAATCCATCTCTTGGGTAGACCCCTTGAGTGTTTTTGAGCCAGTTAGAACCTGAATCCCCTTCTGAACCTTCTTTTCTGGCTAAAAACAAAAAAGATATTTACATTCTTTTTTCTAGGAGATAAGCACACAAAATCCAACTCTTGAAAGTCAGGACGGGGATGATATTGATTACAAAAATACACCTTATTTAACTGGCACCGAGAATGGGGGCATGATAATGATGATTGTCCCCAACTTTTTGTAAAATTTGACTACTGTCCTCAATTTGGTTACACTAAAGAGGACTGCCTAGAATTCGAGGTAGGATTTCGGTGATTGTAGATGATTGTAATTGTATATTAGTTGTATATTTCATTTTCATGATTTCATAGTTAAACTTAGATATGATTTGGTTAAATGTAGCTGGATATTCAAAGGGGGGAGAATAAGGTTGCGGAAGGTACAAAGGTCTCCACTACTACCTTAGATGAAATCATCAACATCCCTGGTGCACCACAGGTTAGAGATGGATGCTTGTTAGTGATGAGAATCATATAGTCTTCTATGGTAGTTCTCCTAGTGAGGGGAATGAGCTAGTCCTTGATTCTAGTTTTGGGATGCCACGTTTACTTTGCAGGCCAATCAAGGAAGAAATGATGAATCTTGACTAACTATGTGATAAGGAGTTGGTTCAAGAGAGCTATGATTAAGATGATGAGAATGTCATTAACTTTGGGGTTCAAACCAAAGGAGATAATTCACTAATGGAAAAAAGTGCTCTAGAGTATCAAGGGAGTTTGACTCTAGGTGCTCCATGAAGATCATTGATCAAGCTAGAGAGAAGAGTCATTTAGGTTCTTGAATGGACGGCCTATTTGATCAAAGTGTTCAAGATTGAGTCCATTGCTACACAATTGGATAGGGTGCAAACTATCTCAATTGTTTCAAGTGTTTTTCCATTCTTTTGGAGTCAATAAGGAGAATTCTACAAGTTTTGGAGTAAATTAGAGTTATCTACAACTTGAGGGGCGTTCAAGACATTTTACTTCAATATTTGGAGCTGAATTTCGGATTTAGAGTATTATCTAGTCTAGGAGTTTAATTTTCGAATGTTATCTAGTTAAATAAGTGATGTAGACTGAATTAAGCTAGAGTGTTTTGATTTAGGAGTTTTAGATTCCTTCTAAGTATTATCCTATTTGATAAGTCATTTAGATAAGGTTTCCTAGATTTTAGATAGAGTCAAAGAGATCAAATACTCTTCTAACTCTACACCTACGTGAGATAAGATTCGAGAGTTCTAGTTGGTCTTCTTTTTTGGTGCTTATGGCCAAAATTGCTAGCCTATAAATAGGGGGGGTATGGCCAAAAATTAAAGCACCCGTGTGTGGTCATTTTGAGTCTTCTCTAATGAGAGTTTTTCCTGTGACGAATTTTTGTTAAATGTTTGTTCCATTTTTCGTGTCAATCATGATTTAACCAAGAGAGTTTTCATCTTGTCTTGGATCTTTTGATCCTGCAGAAACTGTTCTTTTTCAAGTATGCTTCTTGATAGAATTGTTTCAAAACTAAACTTCTTATTTTCGTACTACTTCTAGTAGTTCGAGAGTTGAGCCTTTCTTTTGGCTATGGTTTTCAAAATTCATGATGTGTGTGTTCATGAGTTCCTTTGTGGGGTTCATCCTAATTTTGTTGGATGAGTTTTGCTTTGGCATAAGCATTTTGAGATAGTGTTTGTGTTGCATATCTTTGTTGGTTACGGAGATTACTAATCAATAGTATTCCTTCATAGTTGAGCATTGTTTGCTCCTACCTTTCTTGAGTCTCTTGAATGATGACTGATCGAGTATATTGAATGGTGTCCTTACTATTCGTAGTGTGGGTTGTTGTTTAATTCGAATCTTTCATAGATTATGTGTTCTTTGCTTGGTTTGAGTTAAAGAGATAGAAATCCTTAGATAAACGATCGTCTTATTGTGAATTTTCAGCACTCTTTTGAGTTTCACGGGATAGATATATTATCTTCGTACTTTCTTGTTTGACGGTTGCATTAACGAAATTTGCTTCATCAATGAGATTGCTATCAGTTTTGGTATCAGAGCTTGAACTATCTAAGTGATGGTATTAATTGATATTATCATATCAGTTTTTAGTATCAGTTTGATTTTTGAGAGATTTCTTTTTGATTAAGGACTTCATAGTTCTTGGTTTTTAGAATATATTGAGTTACCACGGAATCCGTTTCTTAGTGTGGTAATCGAGCTTTGTGCTACTAATGAGTAGTACTATCTTTATTTGTTTCAAGGTTCCTTCTTATTGTAGAATGGGTTTTGATAGAATAAATCAAATTCTTGAGAAAACTACATTTTCAAAATTGATCTTGTCTTTTGTGTGGTTGTGCGAGACTTCTTACACATTTGTTTGATATTGTGGTGTTATTTTGAGGTCTATGCGAGAGCTTGATGATGGTACATTGGTATCTAGTCAAAGTGGGTGCTACATCTTGGAATTTATCCTTGATTTGCAAGTAGAGAACTGTTTCTCCTATGAGCAAGTTAGTGGATCTTATGTGTTGAATCTTTAAGGAGAGAATTGATGCCAAAGAAGAGCTTCTTCCTTGAGATAGCCTTTTCTTTCTAAAGAGATGTCTTTACATGAGGAGGGTTTAAGAGTTTATCTTCTGGTAAATATCTTGGATCTATTCTTTGAAAGGTGAAGCTTAGTGATTTTGTACTTTCTACATAAAGTATAAATGAAAAAGCCTTCCTTCTTGTTGGTTCTCATTTGAATCTATTGAGTAAAATGGAATTTATGGATTTTCAATCAATGAGAATTTCATAGAGTTCCAATCCTTTTTGATTATTTTGTTTTTGTTTAAATCTTAGTGTCAAAAGATTTTCAAAAGTAATAAATGTCGGTTTTTGCTTTTTCTCGAGTTTTTACTTTGAGAATGAGTCAAATTAGTGGATCTTCCTATCATGGGACTTTCCATGATTCTTGACTTGATTTTTAAAACTTTCTTTATCATTTGATGAAGAATGAATTTTAGTGATATCAGTTTTGGTATCAAAGTGTTTTATGGTCTTTAAAAGTTGAATTGTGCCAACTTTAAAGGTTGAAGCCTATTGACTTGTGTTAAAACCTTAGTTGTCGAGAGTTGCATAGAGAATTGAGTGAAGTTTACTAAAGATTTTCTTATATATAACAAGAAATCTTATAGGCTTTGAGATATGTTCTTGAAGTTTACATATTTGGTCTTTGGAAAATTTGATTTTCAAATGATCACTTATGAAGATGACCTTGTTGAGTCATTGAGTCGTATGAATGGTTTGTGTTAAATTGAGTATTATGAAACAAACGTCATAGTTGAATGAGGAACTTTAAATTCCAACTTCATTATACTTATGGTATTCTCGTTACTTTATTTGCCATAGATTGTTTTGGTAAAAAGTGATTTTTGTTAATTCCATATACAATTTGGAATGTGGTTTTTGGAAAGTATTCTAAAAGTTGTTGGACATTTTGGAAAGTGGTAGTTTCCAAGTTTCCTTTTTAAAGTGAGTCAAACGTAATTTTTCAAATTTTAACTATGTGGTAAAAGTTGATTGTCAAAATTTTGCTGAATTAATGCATGTGTGTGTGTGTGTTTTATGTGGAGTTCTAAACCTAGTTGGTTTTGAATTTTAAAGTCATAGTATAGCCGAATTTTTGAGCTAAAAATTAGGTTTCCTAGTCCTAGTTGAACTTGAATTTTGGTTGTCTATTTGTGTTACAGTTTAAGTCCTATTCGGTCTTGTATTTATTTGTTCACATGGCCAAAAATTTTATCCCTAAAATTAAGGTCATTGAATCCAAATTGTGTTATGATTTGAGACCTATTCGGTCTTGGATTTGAATGTTCACATTGGCTGAAATTTTTCAGCCTTTGTTTCCTAATGCTAATACAATTTTATTGTGTGTTTTATTTGAGTCCTACTTAGATTTAAATACTAATTTCTGTATGAGTTAAATTATAATTTCAGTGAGATTATAATTAGAGTTCTAAAGTGAGTCTATTTTCGAAAACTATTGAGATAAGGAAGTCTTATCTTAATCTGAAAATTTTTTTGTCTTTAAATACAATTGTGCTTGTATTTTGGCCGAGTTTTTGAGTCCTATTTGTAGTAGGGGGGTCGGATTTTTTTTCGTCTCGAATTAGAAGGGATGAATCTTTCATTGTTTTATGACATAGTTCATAAGTTGTGTCCAAAAGGGATTATGATTACCTATGTTTTAGGACTCTATCTCTTTTATTTATCAAGCTGGCCGAATTTCTTCTTCCTTATTCCATCTTGTCGACCGAATTTTATCAATTAAGGGGGAATATTCTTGAGAAAATTTAGATCCTATCTTGTAGGAGTTTTCTTGTACAAAAAGACTTGCATTGCCTATAAATAGGGGTGCTGTTTTTCAAAAATTCTCACACCAGTCTACTCCATTCTTCTTCTTCTTCTTGCTACCGAGATCACAAGGGTAAAACAAGAGAAGCACTCTTCTCTTTATTCTGAATTTTTGAGAGTTAGTATTCTTAAAAGCACAAGAGAGTTTTTGGGGAGGACAATATTCGAACCTTCCTTTGATTCTTGGGGGGTTTCGGCCAAGCCATCTATTGGTTCAAGGAGTTTTTGTGTAGTAACAAAGGCACATTACTTCTTTTGTTGGTGGTTTCTCAAAGTTGTTGAGCAAAGATGTCATCCGAAGTTGCTGGTTGTACTCAAGTTGCTTCAAAGAGTGTAGAGGGTCGCATGGAGGCTCAAGTGCA